TTTATATCTGATTTAGCAGTTATCCCCCATTTCCTTTGTGATAAAATGAAACAAAATATTTGTTTGGGGGTTTTCGGGGGCGTGGTTTTCTTATTTACTTGAATACAATTAATTCTTACCACAATTATTAGAAATGAGTATTCTCTGCAACAGCAACCTTGGATTCTAAGTGTCTAGATTTACTGGAATATAATATGTTTTTTTTTTTGAGGGGTTACTGGGGACTAAACCCAGGGGCACTTAAACACTGAGCCACATCCCCAGACCTTTTTTATATTTTATCTGGAGACAGAGTCTCACTGAGTTGCTTAGGTCCTTGCTAAGATGTTGAGTCTGGCTTTGAACTTGTGATCCTGCATCAGGCTCCCCAGTCATTGAGCTTACAGGCATACTCCACCATGCCTAGTGATTGATTGCATAGGGTTTGAAAGTCTACAATCTATAGAATCTTGAAGATAAATATAATGAAACATGGAACATCTTACTGAATTCATTTTTTAAAGAAATTGAATCAAAGCTTTATGAAATTATACTTCATGCAATCAGATGCCTATTGCAAAAGAGATTTTACTTTTTACAGTATAGTGATTACTGGAGATTGCTGTGTGGTTAACACCTCACAGTATTATTTTATGTATGTGATAAAGATAAATCAACTAGAAAATGTTTGAAATAAGTACATTGATTTCTGTTTTAACTGAATGAAATAAAATACTGTTTCTTGATAACACAGCTCTGTCAACTCAAACACATTTGAAATAATGAAGGTGAAACTAATACTGGGGGCAAAGACCAAATCCATTTCTTTGTTCCACATAAAGTATTTAGTATTTATTCCCAATTCCATCATTGCATGGGAATCACTTGGGACTTAAAAATCCAGATTCCTGAACATCATCCTTGTTGTACTGAAAAAAGAATATCTTGTGATCCAGGAATCTATTTTAAAAATTTCCCCATGGGGCTGGGGCCAGGGCTCAGTGGTAGAGCACCTACCTGCCTTGCATGTGTGAGGCACTGGGTTCAATCCTCAGCACCACATAAAAATAAATAAATTAAGATATTATATCTATCTACAAATAAAAAAAAATTTAAAAAAATTTCCTCAGATAATTCTGAGGCATTTGATCATGAAACTGGTTTGAAAATTATTAGACTTGGCAAAAAAGTATGTTTATTCTGAATGGAAGTCTCATTATAACAGTCAGCACTCTGTATCTGTCTGCAGATTCAACCAACCAAGGAGCACAAATATTTATAAAAAAATTGTGTCTATACTGAACATGTATAGTTTTTTTGTCATTATTCCCTAAATAATATAGTATAACAACTATGTATATAGCATTTAAATTGTATTAAGTATTATGGAGATGTTTAAGGCATATGGGAGAATATTCATGTTACATATAATAATATAAAATTTGTAGTATTACTTCATGGATATAATAATATAAAATCTACAGATTTTCTGGATCCCTCTAAGGGATACTGAGGGAAGACTATATACAAGTTGCCCAAGGGCAGGAACTGAGTTCATGAATTTTCACAAGCCCAGTACCTGTTATGAGCCTTACATTCAGTAGGCACTCAATATATTTGAAGAGAATTTTAACTTCAATTTTTATTGGTCACCAGAGGAGTTTTATTAGTTTGTACAGAGGATATAAATCTTGGCTAGTGACATTATACACTCACATGTCAGAAAACCACCTTGCATACATCCTGAAAGACAATATTGAATTAGTGAACTGATTTCTAATGTAGAATGTGGTTGTGTTCAAGTCATGATTCTGAATTCTGCTAACTTCTATGTTCTTGAGTAATGAAGAAAAATACTAACATTTATGAGATTGGTCTAGGCTATAAATTATCTCTGTCTTGTTCCTCTTTCTTCTAAAATTACAATAGCAGCTAGCATTTGTATGGTTTAAAACAGTGACTCTGAAAGTGTGGTTGGAGAACTCCTAGGGAGAGGTTCTCCTGAAACCCTTTCTGGTGATCTGAGAGGTCAAGACTGTTCTAATAGTACACTCTTATTTGCCTTTATCACTCTCATTTTATCTTGAGATTAATGTATAAGAGTGCAACAATTAATGCAGAAAAGACAATTAATTATATCCTATTAAGCCAATCATTAAAAAATTTTGTAAGAGTATAAAACCATGCTGTTTTTTAAAAAGTTATTTTTCATAAAAATGTTATATCAATATATAATGGATTATTATTTTAAAATGAAAAATATTAGTAATTTTTTATTTTAATTGGTTGCTCAAAACATTACATAGTTCTTGACATATCATATTTCATACATTTGATTCAAGTGGGTTATGAACTCCCATTTTTCCCCCGTACACAGATTGCAGAATCACATCGGTTACACATCCACGTTTTTACATACTGCCATACTATTGTCTGTTGTATTCTGCTGTCTTTCCTATCCTGTACTATCCCCCCTCCCCTCCCCTCCCCTCCCATCTTCTCTCTCTACCCCATCTACTGTAATTCATTTCTCTCCCTTGTTTTTTTCCCCCCCTTTCCCTTCACCTCCTCTTATGTGTAATTTTGTATAACGTTGAGGGTCTCCTTCCATATCCATGCAATTACCCTTCTCTCTCCCTTTCCCTCCCACCTCTCCTCCCTGTTTAATGTTAATCTTCTTCTCATGCTCTTCCTCCCTGCTCTGTTCTTAGTTGCTCTCCTTATACCAAAGATGACATTTGGCATTTGTTTTTTAGGGATTGGCTAGCTTCACTTAGCATAATCTGCTCTAGTGCCATCCATTTCCCTGCAAATGCCATGATTTTGTCATTTTTTAGTGCTGAGTAGTACTCCATCGTGTATAAATGCCACATTTTTTTTATCCATTCATCTATTGAAGGGCATCTAGGTTGGTTCCACAGTATAGCTATTGTGAATTGTGCTGCTATGAACATCGATGTAGCAGTATCCCTATAGTACGCTCTTTTAAGGTCTTTAGGGAATAGTCCAAGAAGGGGAATAGCTGGGTCAAATGGTGGTTCCATTCCCAGCTTTCCAAGGAATCTCCATACTGCTTTCCACATTGGCCGCACCAATTTGCAGTCCCACCAGCAATGTACAAGTGTACCCTTTTCCCTACATCCTCGCCAGCACTTGTTGTTGTTTGACTTCATAATGGCTGCCAATCTTACTGGAGTGAGATGGTATCTTAATATGGTAAAGTATAACACATAAACAAACATATTTGGAGTCCTCAATATTTTTTTTTTTTTTTTGGTACTAGGGATTAAACCCAAGAGTGCTTTACCACTGAGCTACATCCCCAGCCCTTGTTATTTTTTGTCTTGAGACAGGGTCTCAGTAAGTAGCTTGGAGCCTTGTTAAATTGCTGAGGCTGGTCTTGAACTTGCTATTTTCCTGCATCATCTTCTGGAGCTGCTGGTATTACAGGTGTGTGCCACCATGCATGGCAAGTCCTCAGTAATTTTTAAGAGTGTAAAGGGATTCTGAGACCAAAAGCTGGAGAACTAGTGATTTGTTTTTACATATTATTTAATAATTAGTTCAACTAGTTACTTTAGTTTATATAGAAAAGTAGTGCCTAAAATTAGTATTGAATTTCACCAATTCTTGAAAATTGCTTTTGTTCACCATATAGTCATGATTTAACTTTCTTTTTTCCTTGCTCTGAGAAAATTAATTTAGTTACTGTTTAAGGTTTCACGAGTTTCCAAAGTGTTCTGTAGTAATTTGTGACACAACTTGAAATTCCCTTCATCAGAGTTAATGGGCATGCTACCTGAGAAGGATAACATGCTAGGTATCTATTAATATATGGAAAGGAATTTCTTTATCAGATTTCTCACTTAACAGAGAACAGGATCTAAATGGAAAGAGATTAAAGATACATTTTGATAGCTAGGAAGCAAATTCTTAACTACTTTGAAGGGTAGATCCAGGGAAAAGCAGATTGAAGAATATTGGAGAATCCAGACCTCAGTGTCTTTCAGATCATGTATGCCTAGCTACAGCATTTACAGAATTCCCTAAGAATCATAGCTTGCTTCCCCACTTGTAAATGAATAAAAACAATATCTACCCCTCAGGTTGGTTGTAAACCAATATTGGGTTGTAGGTGAATACTGTGAACAAGGTAATTTCTTAGGTTACTAGGGAGAGAGGGACCTTTAAGGAGAAATGAAGAATATATTTGATTTTGCTTACTTCACAAATGCAAATCAGTGATAGTTTTGTCTGTCATCTTTTGTTTCTAAGGTTGTTGCCTTTTGTTTCTTTTTCCTCTTTTTGGTTTTCTTCCTTTCTCCTTCTACTGTGTTGGGTTCAATGGTGTTCTACAGCTCTGCTAAACAGAACAGTTTATTTATTTATTTATTTTTTGAAACTTAAAAGTTCTCTGGTATGATCATAATATTTTCATTTTATTTCCATAGCAGGAGAGAGGATTATTCCTCATTCCATTTCCGACATAAATACTTTCTTAGGGAGAAAAACATGTTATTAGAAGCGTAAGGACTAAATTCTGCGATAATATTAGTTTGCAAATAAAACACTTGAACAACTCATTCAGTAAAGGAAGTGGCGAGGTTTCTAAAAAAAAAAAAAACAAAAAACAAAAAACCTTCAAGATCATGAAATAGGTACATTTTACCCGAAGCTTAAAAATAAAGGCTGTTGGAAAGAACCAACTTCCACCTCCCTGTGGCCCAGCTTTCATCACAGGTTCCTTTTTGCCCAACCAACGCGAAAATGAGAACTCCCAATTCATTCCTTATCAGACTCCTAGGCCCGCTACGGGAGGGGAAAACCGGAAGAAATAATCAAGGGCTTCTGGGCTGCAGCCTGCTTTCCCGCCTAAACGATGAGGGGGCGGGGTCCGAGAGCGGGGCGGAGCGAGTTACTTCCCCGCCTCCTCTTTATCCTCCCCTTTTCCCGTGCTTTCCCCGCCCACTCATTTCGCCGAGATCCCGACAGGCCCAGCGGCTACGGGAGTCACGTGAGTGTGGGCGGTGGAGGGAGAGGCTTCTCTGGTTCTCGGTCTCTATGGTTGTCAGAGGTGGGCGGCTTTTGACCCTGGAGCTGCCAAAGCTCGAGCGTAGACGGGTGAGTCTAGGACTCTGAGGCGGGTAAGGAGACAGCCTTTTAGGGAAGGTGAAGAGGGTGGCGGGACGGCTTTTAGGGACCCGGGCTGCGGGGCCAGCCCCTCGGGTTCTGGCGACTTAGGCGGGACCGCTGCTCCGAGGCGCTCAGCTCCGGGTGCTGAGAGGCGTCCTGAGCCCTGCCTGCTTCCCGTCCTCCGCTTTCCTTCATCCCACCCGGTCCTTTATTCCTGTCCCGGGAGAACTTCTCCCAGTGCGGGTTCCCACAGGCAGGGTTCACTTGGGCGCCCAGTAGACACAGGTAGCCTTGACTGGTTCTCCTGGCATTTGTGGATGTGGTCAGAAGTGGGTGAGGGAGTTTACGGCTGGATCTCTGATGGGGAGATGTATTAATCATTGAGTCGAAAAAAGTGAAAATCATCGTCGCCTAAAGGGAACAAAACAAAGTATAGGCTTCTCGCTGTTATCTTTTTCAGTGCCTTTGAGTTCTCATTCTGTCTCTGTGTCCATCACTGCCCGCCTCCCACCCCCTACTCTCCAGTTTGTCTCGTTTCCTTCTCACCGTCCCATCCTGGTACACTGATGTTTTGGGTGAAACTGACAATCTGTGTTGAAAGAGGATTTCAGACGGACTGTTCTTTTCTGTTGTCATCTCTGTAATCTTTACCTCTCACTTAGATGTCCGACGCTTTGTTAAGTATTGTAAATACAAGTAGAATAAACATTTTATATCTAAGGGATTGTAAATATTCTCCTTGTGGAATCCAGGAAAGACATTGTCTTCTAGTTCTTTTATAAATAGATGTTTTTAATCACACTTTTTTTTTTTCCCCCAGTGGCTTCTTTGATCCACTTTTGTTGTGTTAAAGCATCCTTTTGGGTCAAGTGTGGAAGTGATTTAGCAGTGCTAGGAGTTTGCATAGATTTAAACAGGTTTGAAGTTGAAAACTGTAGGAGAGTTTAGGTCTTTGAGCCATATGGCGAATTAACCAACCTGCTGGTTCTCTGAGGACAGGTAATGAGCGCTGAAGAATGCCTTATCCTAAAAGTTTCAGAACTTACTGCCACTTATCTGTGAGAAGTTGTGGCCTCCAGCTTATGTTTGCCCCCACTCTTGATAAATCTTTCATTATCTTTTCCATTTCAAAGACATCACTCTGGCCACCTCTTTATGCCAAGAAAGTGTTATTGACATGTAAGTGTCCTTACTGGGGATCCTAAAATGCCAAATAATATTAACAAAAAGTGAAGATGGCTTGTGTGCCTGGGGAGAATGGGAAAAAGTTATAGAAGCTAACAAAAGCTTTTTTAAACTGTCTTCCTGTATACTCAATAGAGTAATTACTATATTCAGCACACTGTTTTTGGTGGGGGGGCGTATAGAGTCTCACTCTGTTGCCCAGGCTGGCTTCCAGCTCCTGGACTCAAGTGATCCTCCTGTCTCAATCTCCCAAGTAGGGGGGATTACTGGTGCCTACCACCGCTCCCTGCTTTGTTGAGTGGATTTTATATATTCCCAAAGAGCGTATCCTGTGATTCATTTTTGTGTATTTAAAAAAAAACTAACAGTATTTAATTTCTGTCATAATTCAATATTACGTTAAATAATTGTGACAGAAATGCTTAACTGACCAGCTTCTTTAGGTCTTACAGTATTTAGAATTATAGTACTGCAGTAATTACTTACCACATTGTCCAAATACATAATATGTTTAAAGTTACAAAACCTGAATATCCCAGAGCAAAGGTACAGGTTACATAATGACAATAAATATTTGCAGTAATGTAATTGATAAAACCTTATTTAAACATAATTTTCCCATTTTTAAACTTTAAAGTTAGTTTCACATCTTGAGCAATTTTTATAATAACTGTAACACTTGCTAAATATTAATGATTTTTCCCATACAGAGTTGTTTAATATATTCATTTTTATATGAGAGCCATTTTCTTGTGGGTGTGGTTTTTTTCCTAACTTAGCTATACATGACAGCAGAATGCATTTTAGTTCATTGTGTACAAATGGAGCGTAGCTTTTCAATTCTCTGGTTGTACACAATGTAGAGTGGCACCATTCATGCAATCATACATGTATCTAGGGTAATGATGTTTGTCTCATTCCACCATCTTTTCTGCCCTATGTCTCCTCTCCTCCCCACCCTCCCCTTTGCCCAGTCTACAGTTCCTCCAGGCTTCCCATGCCCTCCCCCCAGTATGGTTCAGCATCTACTAATCAGAGAAAACATTTGGCCTTGTTTTTGGGGGTTTGGCTTACTTTGCTTAACATGATATTCTCCACCTCCATCCATTTACCTGCAAATGCCATAATTTTATTCTCTTTTAATGCTGAGTAATATTCCATTGTGTATATATACCACAGTTTCTTTATCTCCTCATCTATTGATGAGCATCTAGGTTGATTCCACAGTTTAGTTATAAATTGTGCTGCTAAAACATTGACGTGACTGTGTCACTATAGTAAGCTGATTTTAAGTCCTTTGGGTATAGACCGAGGAGTGGAATAGCTGGGTCAAGAGCCATTTTTATTAGTGCATTTTAATTATACAGAATAATGAGTTTCATTGTGGCATATTTATACGTGCAACTAATATTCTTTGATTATATCCCTCCCTCCTCCACTACTGTCCCCTGCTCTTTCCTTTCCCCAATGTACTTCTTCTCCTCTAATAGTCTCTCTGGGAACAAATTTTATTTATTTTTATTGTTATTATCGTTGTTGTTGTTTGGTGCTGGGGATTGAACCTTAGGGGCGCTTTACCATTGAACTATATCCCTACCCCCCCCCCCCTTTTTTTTTTGTTTTAGGTGGGCAGCATCCCTTTTTTTTTTTTTTTTTTTTTTTTTTGTTTTTTTTTTTTGGGCCGGGGGGTTAACCCCTTGGGCCCTTTTTCCTTTTGATTTTTCCCCCCCCCCCCCCCCCCTTTTTTTGTAGTTGTAGATGGACAGCATGCCTTTATTTTATTTGTTTCATTTTTATGTGTTGCTAAGGGTCAAACCCAGTGCCTCATACATGCTAGGCAAGTGCTCTGCCACTGAGCTACAGCCTCAGCCCCTCCCAATCCCTTTTTTATTTTTTTATTGTGAGGCAGGGTCTTGCTAAGTTGTTTAGGGCCTCGCTGAGTTGCTGAGGCTATCCTGGAACTCATGATCCTCTTGTTCCAGCCCCCTAAGGGATTGTAGGTATGCATCACTGCTCCTGACTTTAAGAATCAAGTTTTAAAAAAGGTTTACTGGGCTGGGGATGTGGCTCAAGCGGTAGCGCGCTTGCCTGGCATGCGTGTGGCCCGTGTTCCATCCTCAGCACCACATACGAACAAAGATGTTGTGTCCCCCGAAAACTAAAAAATAAAATATTAAACTTTAAACTCCCCCTCAAAAAAAAAAAAAAAAAGGTTTACCACGCACAACCCTCCACTCCTGCTAAAAATGAAAATTGTTTTATTTTGTGCCAAAAGAAAAAAAAAGTGATTCTTTTTAGGTGCATGTTCTATTTGTTTGGGTAAATTCTGAGAAAATTGTTAATGTCTTTTTTTTGGCTCCTGGTATCAGGGATTGAACCCAGGGTCACTTAACCACTAAGCCACATCCACATTCCCAACACTTTTTATTTTTTTTATTTTGAGACAGGTTCTTGCTAATTTGCTTAGGGCCTCCTTGAATTGCTGAGGCTGTCTTTGAACTTGCAATCCTTCTGCCTCAGCCTCTGAGCTGCTGGGATTGCAGGTGTGCGCCACTGTGCGGCTGTTAATGCTTTTAAGCTATTAAATATAAATATCTGAGCATATATGAGAAGAAAACAGAGGGACAGTATGCTTTAAATGTTTTATTTTTCCTATCATAAAAACAAAGTTTGATAAGCTTGTCATGGAACATGTGTGTAATCCTAGCAACTCAGGAGGCTGAGGCAGGAGGATCCAAGTTCGAAGCCAGCCTCAGCAATTTAGTGATACCCTGTCTAAAAATAAAAAATAAAAAGAGCTGGGGATGTAGATCAGTGGTTGAGTGCCCCTGGGTTCAGTTCCCAGAACCAAAATAAATAAATTAATAGTATGGTCTTAAATTTGAAAAATATAATATTTTAACACTTATCTTTTTTGTAATATATTTTTTAGTTGTCAATGGACCTTTATTTTATTTATTTATATGTGGTGCCGAGAAGCAAATCCAGTGCCTCACACATGCTAGGCAAGCGCTCTACCACTGAGCCACAATCCCAGTCCACATTTATCTTTTTTCCTTAGCAGCAGATCACTAGTTCCCTTTGTGTATCTGGGGATCATTGTGGAAAAGTAGTTGAAACTATGGAGTCAGGCTTCCTGAGAAAGATAGTAGTAATAGCACTGGGCTTATACCTTACAATATTAGAAACCACAGAAGAAAGAGAACTTCCCTTTCTCTGCTGTTCTAGCAAACTTCTGTCTGGTAGTCTTACACTTGGCCTGACTTGGGTCTTCAGTCATCCTGGAGGCCATTTCCTGTGGGCAGGTGGTGGAATGCTTTGTGTGACCAGGTTTCAATTTTATTTCCACTGTGGATTAGGGAAATGCGAAACATGGTTTCAAATCACATGAATTAGAAGTGGGGGATATTTAGTTTCCAAGTGTAAATTGAGGTGTTATTTCCTGGATAAGGGAGAATGGTTGCTGGATAGGTAAAAATGACAGGTGTTTGTATGTATTTGAGGTTTTTTGTTTGTTTTTGCTCTACTGGGGATTGAATTCAGGGCCTTATGCATTGTAAGTAGGTGCAATAGTACTGAGCTACATCCCCAGCCCTTTTGTTTAATTTTTTAAATGCTTTTTAGTTGTCAATGGACCTTTATTTTATTTCTTCACATGCAGTGCTAGTAATCAAACCCACTGCCTCACACATGCTAGGCAAGCACTCTACCACTGAGCCACAACTCCGGTGGCCCCCCTTTTCTTTTTTCTTTTTGAGACAGTGTTTGGTTAAATTGCCCAGGTTGACCTCTAACTTGCATTTCTCCTGCCTCAACCTGGCTTACA